ACAGGTACCATAGGTACAGACGATTTTTTGGATTCTCCTTTGACTAACATTTATGATTAAGTTACTTTCCACTTAAGTAATATAATTTTCTACCAAGTACTCGCACCAAGTTGAACTTTTAAATACTGTTGCCAAAGTCATTAATCCTATTATTTACGGCTGTCTGACAGGACCCAAAAGAGAAAGCTAAATCTGAAACAAGGGACTGGTTGAACAATGTGGTAAGAAAATACTGATCTTTCTTTAAAGAATATACTTATCTTTCTAGTTTCCATTGACATTCTTTTGCTTGTTGATTCCCAGTTGTATTATGTTTAAGAAATATCTGTATTATATGCTCTACTCATGCATTGATCCTTCATCTATTTTTCTGAAAACATACTAATTCCCTGTGGATAAGGTCTTTAAGATGTTACTATCTGTATATGTATATGATAATATTATCATGCTTAGTGTTAAATGCTTCAGTTAATTAGCTTACTATCTGTATATGTATATGCTAACATTATCATGCTTAGTGTTCATTGCTTCAGTTAATCAGCAAGGATACTCTAGTGATCAGCTGTGGTGCCATCATTAGTATCATTATTTGCACCCTCTTCAATATGCATCACACCTTCTGTCCATATAGTATTCACTTCTCGATGTTAATGGATAAAATTTGGAGTGCATAATTTGGGACTGTTTAACCGCCAGAATTGTCGAGTTATGAATATCTCTCTCTAAGTAAGTACTTACATGCAAACACAAACTATATACATGTCATGGAGACATATAGACACACACACAAATGTACACATGCATATGCATATTATAAGCACACAAAATAGTGGGCCATCTGACAATATGTGGTGGAGAAGTTCTATCTTTTAGGTAAGGGAATTAGTCTGACCCATTAATTAAGTATGTATGTACGTAAATCTGGTATCTCATTCATAATAAACTGCAATTCAAGAATGAGAGATTGAGAAGTTTCTGACCCATGCACTAGTTGATTTCTTTCTGGCCGAACTAACATAGTTCGTAGAACCAACTAATGAAGGTAAAAGAAATTTTGAATCCATTTGGTATCTCATTCTTAGACGAACTTTTGTGTAGTGAATAAGGTGAATGATGTGGAATATCACTGGATTATGCCTTAACTGATCTAACCCAGTATTATCTCTGGATGAATTCTTCGTAACATGTCTTTTTTTCTTTAAATATGCATAAACTGCTTCAAGGTTACAGAGAAATAACATTTTAGATATAGAAAAAATTGAGAAACATTTATTGCATGGTTATTGGCAAATTACCTTTGATTGTACTGAACAATGCAGACAGCTCTATGTTCTTGGTATCAGTTGTGTAATTTGGTATCGTTTGTCTTCCTGATTTGTTCTCTGCCTGTTAGGTGAATATAATTCTCTATAGCTCATCATATGTCTTTTACTTGACACTTCCATTTTGTAGCAGATGTCCAAAGCATGTTGCTTGGTTGAACAAACTATAACGTGTGAATGAAAATACTAGGTCTACCTAGCACCCAACAAGCCTTTTAAGTTTTAAGGCACTGCCTTAATTTTTATCATAGCCTTGTGGCCAGAATTTTGATGCCAAGTAGCTGTTGTAAAATCTCAGTCGACTCTTTCTCAATTTACACAAACTTCAGTTGTGCTTCATGATTGGTTCATTTTTATGGGTGTGCTGATGACGTGGGTAGACCGCGGAGCTCTTGATCAGTATGAATCTTCAACTTCGCACTAGTTAATGTAAAGGTTGTGGACCTTTATTTTTGTGGCTCTCGTAGTATTTTAATATATTATTAAATTCTAAGATTGTGCTTCGATACTTGAGAGCATATGCACAATACTGGAGAATTTAAAAAGCTGAATAATTTGCAAATAGATACGAGAAGAATGGACCCATGTGCATTTTTAGTGTGATTTTTAACTTTCTTCAAGAAATTTTCAAATGTAAAGATTAGGGCTCCAATCAGGAACTATGATTTCTACCTACTATATGTTGAGCCACACTACATATATTTCTTATACTAAGATTGTTTTTTTTTAATACACACATTTGACAATGTCTAATGCTACCTACTTCCTGGTGATGGACTATTTGCTTACCAGTAGCCAATTTACTGACTCTTCCTTAAGTACGAACTTTTAAATCTTTCTGTATTATTTTTCCTGAGCACCATATTTGTGACTATGATCAAGTCAGTTCATGGACTCTACAAATTCATCTGCATTGGAAGATGTCAATGTGCAGATGTCTCCCTCTTAAGTTCCCAGTAGCATGTCCATTGTGATACAACGGCCACTCTATTGTAATCCTTTTGTACCCATATTTGGAATTTGGCCAACATTGATTTGGTATGGAGTATCAACATGTTCCAAGCTCTTACCATCAAAATCAGGCTATGTGGTCATACAAGTCAGTCTCTTTGAGAGATTTGAGATAAATATAATTCTTGTACCAGTTGTCAACTTGGCTCCAATTTGGTCCCATAGCTATGGATAAGAGACTCTTTTTATAAATTCAAAGATTAGTTGGCAGGTAGCAAATTTACTTTACTGATCATGCAGCTTAAACCTGCGCAACCACAAAGAAACTCTGCAAAATTCTTATAGACTAAGAAAATTGTAGTAGGGAAGATTTATATATTTTCTTCAGGGAAGTAGGTTCACCTCAAAAGCAAAAGGTAAAGTAGAATACATGCCCAGAACTTACAATTAGGAGATATATAGCTTTATTCTCAGCTGCAGTTATTTATTTGAGAGTAACAGTTTTTGGCTTGTTGAGCAACTCACTTACCAGCTTGGATAAGGACACAAATTTGGATAAAGATTTAAATTGTGTTTGGCGAAAGCTTGTACAAGGTTGGACTATATTTTTTTAGTTTTAAAAAGAGGCCCTTATCTAGGTTATCTTTGGACCAGCCACTGCCTTGGTTCAATCCTAACCCAGTTAAGGCCTTAACTGGATTAGTGTAAAGTTGCCAAACACATCCATAGTGTCAGTTCTGAAGTTCATATAACTCCTGTATTATGTCATCATCAGTCACAAAGGATATAAGTTCATAATCTTTAGTGAACATATAACAAAGTAACATGAAATAAAGGACTTTCTTGGATTTTTTTGAAATTTATTTGTATTGCTTAGAGCATAATTGTTGTTGGTATGAATCCCTTTGATACAGTGGATAATTGGAGTGCTATCTTTGCTGGAATCAATTCCTTGTCTGTTTGTAAACTGTAAATGTTTCAACCTGTATTAGGCCGACCTATGTGCTGATTTCTGATTTTATTTACTGTTTTCTATACATTTGGTGCATTAGTTGTAACTCTTCTCAATCTTCTTAAGGTTGGAGATTTGGAAAGTCAAATCGATAATTTTGAAGCAGAGCTTGAAGGGATATCTGGAAAGAAGGGGAAAACAAGGAATCCTCAGCTGGTATGGTTAGAAAGCAGTCTTTAGCAGTTACTATAACAATTCTTGATTTTCAATCATGTATACTACTGCTATTGTTTCACATTTTTGTTTTGTTTTTGTATATTCCTGCCAAATCTTTGATAGACACGTTTAGAGGCATCTATTGGCCGCCACAAAGCTCACGTACTGAAGCTGGAGTTGATCTTAAGACTATTGGATAATGACGAGTTGAGTCCTGATCAGGTCAATGACCTTAAATATTATTTGGATGATTACATCGAATGCAATCAGGTAGGAATCTATTTAAGAATCTGTGTGCACCAGAGCTAGTGGATATCTAGTACGTGCTCTAACTTCAAACTTCTGCATCCTAATCTATTGAAGGTGGATTTTGAACGATTTAGCAACATTGATGAGCTGTACGTCTCTTTACCGCTAGACAAGGTGGAAGCTCTTGAAGATATGGTGACAGTGACGCTTGGCAGCTCTGGTCTTGTGAAGGTACCAAATTTAACTTTTTAGATGTTCTTTTTGTCTTTCCTTCTATATTTGTATATGTGAATTCTTCTATAGATCTCGTGAAGTGGTAATTTTCTTCATCAGGCTGCTCTCTTGTCGGCCCCTCAGCAGAGCGCTGATCAAGATCAAAGTGATGAAACAGCTTCTCTGGACAGCAATGCTGATACCATTTCTAAAACTCCACCTGCTAAGACTGTGGCTGCAGGACCTTTGGTGTCATCATCTGCTTCACCCAGTCTTGTTTCTGGTACACTAGAAGTACCTATTTCATACCATTTCTAAAACTCCACCTGCTAAGACTGTGGCTGCAGGACCTTTGGTGTCATCATCTGCTTCACCCAGTCTTGTTTCTGGTACACTAGAAGTACCTATTTCAGCTGCCACATCCAGTTCGGCTGTCCATACATTGCTTGATGGGCCCGGACCTGCAGCTGCACTTGCTGGTACAGCTGCCGTTCGAGGTGTCACAGGGGAGTCAGCTGCTTTCCTGTCTTCATCACTTGGGAATTCTTCTGATTCAGTCAAGGAGGCAGATAATAATGTCATCTCTGACTCTGGATCTTCTGCAACCACCCCTGAGACTGGACTAGAGAAAGTTGTTAGCAGAGGAACATCCTATCAAGAATCCATCGGTGCTTCCATGAGTTTAAATTCCGTCAGTGGTGTTGCTAGCAGTGGATCTCTTGGTTCATTTCCTGTAGTATCTGATTTGTCTAAGAGAAATATTTCCAGCATTAATGAAAGGAGAGAGGTTGATAGTATTCCTCCGACTCTGGCTGCCCAGCTAAGTAACAGAATGCAGTCACAGCAGATTTCAAAATTTAATGCTGATACACTTTCAAACGACAATGTCGGTGAGGGCACTGGTATTGGTGGAAGATCCTTTTCACATTCAATAGCTACCTCACAGTGGACGCCTCAGAGTGCGGCTTCATTTCAGAACCCTGCTGAAGTATTCTCGGCTTTACTAATACTTTTGTGGCTAATTTTGGATTTTCTACCTCTGAAAAACTAATAAAATTTTAACTGCATTTACTATTATGAGTTATCAAATTTGCACATTTTTAGTGATATAATCTTTTCTTTTGTTTATGATTTTTTTTGTGTGCACACTCGTGTTTTAATGGGGGGATTGTCAGTTATTCCATACATGAAAAATTTCTTTTTTCTCGATGCAAAAAGTTACCCTTATGTCTTATGAGTAGTATTCTTTTACACTCTGTAGGAAACGGGAAGTTGGTTATTATGAGTGGGATCTTTGTTTACATGCTATATTTAATACAACTGTCAAGTCAAAATTCATTACTTTCTATCAAGATGAACACGTTGCCCTACATAATTTACACAGTCTGTCTTTCATTTTCCCCTCTTATTTCTTTTTTGCATGTTCAGATTCGTGGAAGACCTGAGATTGCTCCTGACCAGAGGGAAAAGTATCTGCAACGACTGCAACAAGTACAGCAACAAGGTCATGGTGCTCTTCTCAGTGTCCCTCATCTGCCAGGGGCAAATCACAAACAGTTCCCTATGCAACATGAAAATTCAATCTTGCAACAGGTCTTTTCTCCTTCGCATAGCTCTCGATTTCAGTTAGTATGTTTTTGAACTACCCTTTCCCATTCTGTAACATGTATAGAGATGACAGTTTGACTTTGTAACATATGGAGGTTCTTAGTTGCTAGTTAGGAAAAGAATTATGTTCTTTTTCATTTGCATCCTTTCTTCCCCTTGTCATGAGAATATAGTAGTTAGATTTGGTGCTACAGTGGTTATTGAAAATAATGTTATGCCCTTATATAGACATGCCTAGTTTCATGGAAATATACCCCAAGGAATATCATTAGCCTCCATTAATCCAAGAAAGATATCATAAAATAAATAGAGGTGTCTATATACCGAGTGAGAACAGATCAGGGATGCATGCCAGCCAGGATGCTTTCATTTTTTTGTCTTTAAGGGAAGGACATTAGTTTCTGCTGCTGCTGCATCAGCATCTCCTTACTATTTATTAATATTTTACCTCATTGCCCTTTTTAGCTCATTTTGCTTGGTCATCATTTATTTGTTAGGAGAAGAATCAAGTGAAGTTTTGGACCCAGGAACTTGTGTAATACTTGTGTTGTCTGTACCCCTACCCATGGGTGATTTTTAGCAGATTAATTTCAAGTATCCTGCAAATATTTTATTTTGGATTTTGGTCGCACATTTCCCTTCAAATCATGTAATCTTCCAATTCCCGTGGATTTATGACTGTTGTTTCTTGATTATGGCTTTTACATTTTTGGTTACTTACATCGGTAAACTATCGATTTGTACAGGTTAATGCATCATTGACCAAATTACCTTTGTTTCCTGTGGTCTTTTGTTTATCATATAACATGATATAGTTAAATTCTTTTACACCACTTTGTCTATACACGACATTTATACCATGTTGTCACTGTTTATGCACGATGGGATATCTTCTTATCAGTCTGCCTATGAGGGTGTTGGGGTGGCTTATTTTTTTGGTCAAACTAGCTTTTGAGCTAGCTTTTTCGTTTCTACCTTTTTGGTAAAATACAAGATAAATTAACTTATAAGTCACATTTTAAAAAGCTGGTATACACTAGCTGATATACCCTAGCTTATAAAAAACTAACTTATAAGCTCACCTAAATACGCTAAGTTTGACCAAGCAAACTACTATACAACCGAAACAATTTTTGTAATATTTTTATCATAAAAGCCAAAAGCCACTTATAGCTAGCATACCTTCTAAGCTTCAAAATAAGCCTTCCAAACACCCTCTATGTGCTCGATACTCCAAGAGTGTATTGTTTCTCCCAAGCATTTATTGGCATTGATATTAGTACATATGCTAGTTATCGGTATCGTGCTTGATATCCTTTTGTACTGGGTTACTACACGGAAGATACCCACACCTTGTGGGTTAACTTGCATGGCTGCATATTGTGCTGCTTTAGTATCTGAACTGACAAGTTAGATCTATTTGCTCTTTTTAATAACTGTTTTAACATTATGCCCATAAGTTTTTGAGCCCAAGTACTTATTTTTTTAAAACTGCAGTTCAATTCTCAAGGCACATCTTTGCCACCTCAATTGGGGCTGGGGCTTAATCTTCAGTCCTCGGGTGCTAGTTCTGTTGCATCCACACCGCTACAAAGCCCCATCCATCACTTAACCTCTCAAATTCCACTTATCTCAACTGGACCAAAAGATGTAGGTAAGAGAGTTTGTACTCCATCAACAATTTTAGTTGCATCTGTCTTTCAGTTACTTATGCAAATATTTAAATAAGATATAGGCCATTCCAAGGGAGAGCAGCAGCAGCAGAACTTAAGTGATGATATGAAGATAGAATCTGCTCAAGTTTCAGGTCTTAGCAATAAAAGCGATGATAATTTGAAGACACCACTCTCGGTAACCAGATAAATTCAGTTTTCTTTACTTTCAATTTCTTGCGACTTTTTTTTCTCCAAATTTGGTACTCTTTTCCAGAATTGATAGTTTGGTGGATAGCTTTGAGATAACTCTATTGGACCTTTAGCATTAAGAAATATAGTAGGACTTTACCTTTGCCTGTCAATGTTGTGAGCAAATGGAAAATCATTGCTGCCAAACAATGTATTTTTGAGCGCAAGCGTTAATTTTATGCTTTCTTGTAAGTACTCTCAATTATTCTAGGTTTGTGTTAGGTTTATGTTCTACAATTTAATTTCTACCTCGATCAAAATATATTAGGATAATGAGGAAACTTACTACAGAACGTGTATGATACAAAAAGAATTGGTCTCCATTTGAATCAAACAAGCATAATGTATTACTAAGCCGCTGCCATTTCCAGTAGAGATGTATTGAGGAAGAAAGAAACATAAAATGTTTGGGTTTGCCACATTTTTACATGGAGTTTTGTAAATGATGTTGCAGATATAAAAGAGGAGATATAATAATAGTACTGATTTTCTTTATTTTTAGGTCTTTTAATTTGTTAATTTTATTTATAATAAAACAAGAAAAACACTTGAGGCCCTATGTGCCAGGAGACGAGGCCTATTTCCTGGCAATGTTAGTGAGTGCTAGAGGCGCTAGGCGCCTAGACTAGGTCTAGGCAGATTCCTTTTCCTTTTTGTTTTGTTTTGTTTTGTTTATGTTTATGTTTATGTTTAACTGGAGGCGGAGTCGATTTTGCTGAAGATTGGAGGAGTTGTTTGGAGTTGGTGGAGAAGGCCGGTGAGGTAGGAAGGCGTGAAGGCGGCAATGGAGGAAATCACGACCTAAGCTTTGGAGTCTGCATAATGGCTCGTACTCTTTAAGTGCTGCCATGATCTAGGTAGCTTGAGTGCCGCCTAGCCTAGGCAACAGCCTAGACCTCTTTTTAAACCTATGCTTCCTAGGTTTGCCTAGCACCTTCTTCAAGATTAGGTTTACTTTTGTTATTTTCATATGACATATTCTAAGCAAGAGTAGTGTTATAAGATATCCTGCCTTTGTCACTGTCAATTCATTTTGGTATTATTGTTTGGCAGTCTTTTGGCTTTATAGATAAATCTTTATAGTTCTCTTTTGTTTTTTTGTTTGTTTGTATGGTTTTTCTTGATTAAACTTGACACATCACAGTCACATTGTTTGTTTTTAACCTTGTAGCATGGAGGAGTAACTTCACAATTGTGTCTCTTGGATTCAAAGTGTTAAATCTAGAATATGACTCAAGATTTGAATCGGCGATTCAGCTTGCTGATGTATGGATTCCAAGGAATGCTTAATAATCTTTGCTAAATGGTCTCACTTCTCTTATAGTCATATAACTGTACATCTTCATGAGAAATGCCTATGGAAATTTTATCAGTTTTCTTCTTGTTGGCACCCTATTCTGTTATGATGTGATCTATACCACAGTGATTTCATTTCCAACTAGCGAACAGTTAAAAAGTCTTTTATACTGGATTTATTACTTGAGACTATGTAGATGATTTCTTTTTCCTTTTGCCAGGTAATGGGAACAACCGGTGAAGGCAGCCAATTACCTAGAGAAAGTGATCTCTCGCCTGGGCAGCCATTGCTACCAAGTCAGTCTTCTTCTGGTGTTGGTGTGATTGGTCGAAGAAGTGTTTCAGACCTTGGCGCCATTGGTGAGAACCTTGGTGGTTCGTCTGGTAATTCTGGTGGTATGAGTGATCAGTTCCATACTTTGCAATTATTGGAAGCTGCACTTCATCGACTTCCTCAGCCAAAAGATTCTGAACGTGTAAAAAGATATGTTCCTGTATGTATAATTCAGTTCTCAATGATTTACAGTTTTTATGGATATTTTAGAGGAATGCTCAGTAGTGCATGAATGCTAAGTATTCTTTTCCATTTCCCAGAAACACCCTGCCGTAACTCCTTCGAGCTTCCCTCAAACTCAGGCAGATATTATTAGAAATCCTGCTCTCTGGAAAAGATTGGGTGCTGATCCATTAGGCATTGACACCTTGTTCTTTGCGTTTTACTATCAGCAGGTATTCTTGTTGGCCCTGATTGGTAGTTTTTCCATGCACGCCATGTATATTTATGTTGAATGTATTGTTGCAGAACACTTACCAACAATATTTAGCTGCAAGAGAGCTGAAAACTCAGGCATGGAGATTTCACAGACAATATAACACATGGTTCCAACGGCATGAGGAGCCAGATTTTGCAACCGATGATTATGAAAAAGGATCATATGTGTACTTTGATTTTCATGTGGACACTGCATGGTATGCTCGACTATCAAAATTATTCAAATTACAATCTGTGCATATTATATGACTCTTATAGTATATCACTTTTGTTAGAGCTTTTTCCATTCTTTTTTGTCCTATGTTGATTCTGCCTCTTGAGTATTGTTTTGCTTGCTTCTCTAGTCACTAGGTCTCTTAATGTTTTTTGACTATTTAACGTGGATAGCGTATATGACCTGAATCCTATCTGGATTAAATTGACTTTGATCTCCTGTAGATCTACTCTAATGAAAACCTCTTTTGGGCGATTGGATTGGTCTTTTGATCTGTTATAGATATGGAGGAGCATCCAGGTTAATGCGATTGTGTTCAGGCTAATGCGATTAACCTCTCCCACTTGTATTCATCCATACATACCCAATCCAGCTAAATTTTCATGTCTACCCAACACAATTTTTTGATCTTCATTAGACAATCACAAAATCTTGAAGTCCAATTGATTGTGCTATCTTTTGAAGAATGTTTAGTAGTAAGTTATTTGTATTATAGGTACTCGGTAGTCATATTCAATTGTTGGAGTGACGAGTAACATGTGTTTGACATGCATTTGCACTTTATATAAAAAGGGATACGACAAGTTTCGCTTTTAATTTTTCAAGTACTATTATATTCTTTCTGGTTAAAATTGGGTTGATAATATCCGTATGTATATGTCAAGAAATATGTGTATCCTTCGTGCCAAGGAAAAAATTAGTGTTGAGTGATGACGTGGCCACTTCTCATCTGCGCATTTAAAGTTGTCCATTTGGAAATGGTCCCCATTTGATTACCTAACCACTAGATGAGTGTATGAGAATTGGCCACATTACTATTGGGGAACAAATTTGGTTGTTGGTGCTAAGGATACCCATATTTCTCATGTGTGCGTATATACTATATATATGTACACACACATTCTCTCTCTCTTATGAGGAATATGGTGCGGTACACTATCTCTTAGAAAGTTTCCTTGTCCCTTGCCGGCCCCGTTCCCATGCAACATAGTTGAGCAGTCTTTACTGTTGCTATGACAGCATTTATGTGCTTATCTTCCCTGTTTTGGTTAAAACAGATGGTTAAATTGGAGATGTACATTAGAGTTTTATATTGCTTGTAAAATAGTCATGAATTGATGATAAACATTATATGGAAGGCTAGAAGAAAAACACTTAATTAGGGTTAGAATATTAGACAGGTATTGAATGACATATTCAGAAATTATAGCATAGATGAAATTAAGAAATAACATATCCGGAAAATAAGAAGTGTAAATGAAAATGCTTAGATGAATGAGTAGCCTGTAGCAATACGCAAAGAAGCAGCATAAGAAATGAGTGTGTCCATATGAAGGTAGATGTTACTTTCACTGAAAATAAAATGAGAAAGAATCAGGTGAAATTGGTTCAGGCTTTAACCAATACCGCGTGGAGGTTAGTGTGAAAGTTAGAAATAGTGATAGGATAATAGACCTGAATGAACTTGGACGGAGGCATTTAAGTAGGATATAATAACGGTTAATTAACTGAAAAGATGGTCCTACTCAAAACTGAAATAAAGAGAATTAACCATGTAACAGGCTGTAAGCTTGATATAAAAAGCTATGATTTTTAGCAAAAGGAAGCATCACCTCCAATTCTAGTACACGTATTGTTTCAACTTTTTATATCGTTGTTTTATTGAATTTACTCATTTTTCTAGTTCCTTCAAATTTATCATGTGGATATTTATGATATCATCCTTTTCCCTTTTTTTTTGCCCTTTTTTGATTTGCTACTAACATTCCATCACTGGTTGCAGGTTGCAAAGGATAAAAAACGATTTCACTTTTGAATATAAACACCTTGAGGATGACCTTGTGATCTAGGTAGGTTGAAGTACATAATCAATAGTCAAAAGTTTCGGTATGAAGCTTTCCATGTTTTGGCTCATATCTGTCAAATAATTTGTTTGAAAACCTAAACTCGAGGGCTTTGGTTTCAAGGCCTTAAGGAAAACATGAAAGCCCGAATTAATCATTCTATTTTCTTATTGATGTGAAATTTGGGCTGGTTTTTGTTTTCATTTTACTTGTCACCTTATCGTTTCATTTTATAGTTGTTTTACTTGTTTAATAGTTTCCTTGAGGGTTTTGGTTAAATTCAAAGGATCTGTGATGAGAGGGTAAAAGAAAAGAGTGATAAGAGAGATTGTACTGAATTTGCAAATGTAGATTTTTGCTACGTGAGGGATCCAATCGCTGTTTTTGGAGGAGCAGATCTAGATGATTTTATCTTCCAGAAAACTTGGTGTTTGGTAACTGTTGGAAAACGTTTCCAGAACCGTGTTGACCAGAAATAGGATGAGCATCATTATAGCCCTTTGCATTCTGCTACAATTGATTGACTCATTCACCATGTAATAAGGCATTAGAAGAGGGCCTAAACCTAAAGATTTGGTTAGGTAGATGTAGAAATAATTTTGTAGTTCCTTTCGCTTGCTTTGTTTATATTGCACTGGTACTTCGGTGCACGTGATGCGTGCACGATACAGAAAATGTGAGGGCATTTATAAGTCTAAAGGCATTTCTGTTCATTTTTGCAAGGGTGAGAGTGGTGTTAAATTTTTTTCCCGACAGTAATGACATTTCTGTTGTTTTTTTGTAAGTGGGAAGGCATTTACTTTGATTGTTCAAATTGCTAGGGCCTTTTTAGAATTTCTTAAAATATGACGCACCGAGAGAAATGAAAATGGAAACTTTTTCTTAAATATAATACTGTATAGTATAGATTTGTGGTGGCATGAAATTCACTGTCTTTAAACGTATCTTGTATTCAACCAAAAGGGACTGGAAAACAATGAGGATATAGGACAACAATGGATTTAACCGATGAATTCAGACCTCAGATCATATGCAAGGGTAAGCACGCTATATGCGTAGGTACGGGTGATGTACGGGTTGACTTGTCAAGATAATTAGTATTTTCTTTGGGGCAAAAGAGTCCGAAAATTTTCACTTTAATGAATCTTCTAGTTCACTCTTCCACGCGGTTAACCCTTCCATGCATCTTTTAGTTCACTCTTTCACGCAGCGAAAAACACCAAAGAAATGATAGAGCAAAGCTGAAACATAAGATGCTCATATGCTATTATAATGTGGTAATGCTGTGATAAAACCATTAAGTTGCATAGTATTTTATCACTACCTTGGTACATATACCATTAGCAGAACAAATCTGTACAGAAATAGATGAAAATTAACAGTCCCACAATTCCTCTCAGTACTCTCACGAGAACAGACATCATCACCGAAACAATGAAATCGAATGGATCCTCTCTGCTATTGAAAAGTAGTTGAAGGTCACTAGTTTTATCGTAGTTGTGATTTGTATAATGGGTGGTTCTGATCCATTATAAACTTAAGTCTAATCTCGTATTGTATCTACTAAACAAATCACTTGCTATGATAAAAAAAGGCGAAATTGCATTTAAATGCTCTGTAGTTCCACAAACCTTGCACCTAAGTGACCGCTATTTTCAAACCGAACAAATAAATAGCCCATAGTATTTAAATGTTATAGATAAATACCCAAAGTTTTAAAATATTGCACTTTGGTGCACTCTTGTTTACTTAATATTGTAGGCTCGTTTATCCTATATTGCGTATAAGTACCTTCAGTTTATAAATAACTTTACTTTAATATCTAAAGTTTCTAAAAGTTACACTTTAATATGCTATGTTACATGACATTCTTGGATAGGTAGAGAAATGTTAACACCATCTAGGATTTTTTTTAACTTCGGGGTAGTGATCTGCAACATTTAAATACTTTGGGGTATTTATTTGCTCTGTTTTAAAATAAAGATAACTTAAATGCAATATTGATGAAACTATAGGACGTTTGAATGCAGTTTAGCCATGATAAAAATAGTGATCTCTTTGCTATTTTTTATTGTCTTTTGCAAAACTTGATTAGATAGAAGGTCTTATAGTGAAAATAGTATTATATTCCATTGTCAAAATGTCTACAGTCGCGCTATGCTTTAATTAATGGGTGGCGGTCAAAATAGCACATTATTCCCTTTTTTAAGGGAAAATTGCTTGGAGTAAGGGCCCGTTTGGTTGTATGTTTTTACCATGTAAAAGGATGGAAAGTGTAAAAAAGTGGGTCCCAATGTCAGCTTTCATCACTTTCAATTGTTTGTTTATAGTTGTGAAAATCGTGTAAAGTGATTTCATATGCTGATGTGGCTTGTAAAGTGATTTCATAAAAAAAGACATGATTTTAGGAGAAAGCTGACATTGAAGTCTGGAAAAAATAATTCCAACCAATATGATCATTTGAGTAGGGATCATTTTTTACACTTTCCAAACAAACAATTAAAGTTTCATTTTGCAAACCAAAGAAGTGTTTTATGATTCCAATAGAATCAAAAACAAACAAAGAAAAGTATAAAAATAAAATTGATGAGGTGGACAACAACTTTCCAAGTTGTGTCATAAATACACAACTTTACCAACAACAACCAAACAGCCCCTAAGTAATTTATAAAAAGTTATGCACCTCCACTTCCAACTAGACTCAACCCATTGTAAGCTTTTTGACCCAAGTTTCCATGCTAAAATAGCCCTAGCTCAACATTGTATATGTATTTTATATTGTATTTTAAGTATTGCCCACTTTACCCTTTTACACCCATTTGTGAAGTATCTAAACTATTTTGTCTTATTGGGTAGCCCTCATTCCATTATATAGTTGGAAGTGACATCCGATTGGGTTCAAGAGAATTGGGGAGAATGACATTAATGGCTGAGAGAGTTTTTTTAGAGGGAAAGGAAAAATTGGAGGGAAACATACTAAGTTCCCTCCAAATAATGCCCCATCTTAATGTAATATATTCTTCCCTCTTTAGATTCTACTCATAAGACCTTCAACAACCAAAATATTCTTAACTTTTTCATCTTAACTTCTTCTACAACCAAAATGGAAGAATCTTTAATGTGTGTGATTTCGTTTAACACAAATGTAATCCTCATTAAAATCAATTCTGCAACAAGTTGAGTTGAATTGAAGATGCAAGCTACATAAAATTTAAGAGTAATGTACGAAAGTTTGTTGATAAGTTACTCTCTTGAGAAATTTCCTAATGTCTCGTTTGAGCTTTCAAAAGATGAAGATATTCTCAACATGATAGATTATCATCGTTCAATGGGGTTAAATACGATAACCATGGCTGTTACTAAAAGAGATGAAGGATCCACGCATGCCATATGGACAAAAACAAATCTTAAGTAAGTATTCAAAAGATTATTTTCAGGTTCTGGATACACGTTATAATGGGAACTGTGATATTTACGTCTTATATATGACCTGAAGACATTTCATGTGACATATCGACTTTATTTGTGACATATACTAGTTATCAGTTATTTGTAATAATCACGAGTAACTTATATGTATGTTATATTCAACTTGCAGCCTTCCTAATGTAAGCTCACAGTCATCGGAGCATATCGAGGAACCTTATGAGAGGATCCCAATCGAGGAATCAGAGAGGATCCCAAACCACAATCCTCAAGGAGAGAATGTGTGGATGATGAACGACGTAGTAAGTGACTTGTCACGGATCCCAGCATGGTGACACGAGGCAATTACTGGAAAATGGCAGCAATTTGAAAGCGCAAAAGAAGTTAGAATGACTCTTATATACTACTATATAGCTAAGAAGTTCGCTTTTAAATATGTTAACAATGAGCCAAAACGTATTCGTGCTAGTTGCATGTTCAGAAAAGAAACAAAATGCATGTGGTTGCTTTTCGCTTCACCATTGAGCCATGTGTCGATCTTTGCTATGAAAAAATTTGTTCCTCAAAATACTTGTGGACAACATAACAACATAGCTGGTCACTCCAGAGCATCAAGAAGGTGGATTACGAGTATGCTACAATCAATTATGAAGAGGTGTTCATATATCATCCCAACTGACATTAGAAAGGAATTACACTCACAATATGGTTTAAAAGTTAATTATTCTAAAGCTTGGCGTGCTAAGGAGACGACAAAAGACCAAATATTTGGTTGCGCAAGGCATTCATATGATTTACTATCCTGGTTAGTCCATTAATTTGTTGATGTCTCCTTTAGAACATATATGTATCACAGTTAACCGTAAATGTGACATGTCAGAACGCTATGTGATAAATAAGTATAGCATGTGATATTTCAACGACATATGTGACAATTCAAATCTAAATGCGACTCTTCGACCTTCTATGTGATATTTAGATCTGTTTTGTGACATTTGAGTATTACATGTGACATTGAGACCTTATATGTGACATTAATGTATTATATATGACCGTTCGAACTTATTCATCATTTAACAAGTTATTTGTCCTTTTAACCATCATTTAAAGGTACCAAATGAAGATGATGTAAACAAACCCAGACAGTGTCTTCATCATTGAACAAGAAGAAAGGAGATTCAAGTGTTTATTTGTGTCCTATGGTGCATTCATACATGAGTTTCTCAAGGGATATAGGCCATTGCTCTTTCTAGATAAGACTTTTCTGAAAGATCGCTACAAAGAGATCTTATTAGGTGTGACTGCTTATGATGGTAATCAATGCATATTTCCACTCGCATTTTGCATTTATAGTCAAGAAAATGAAGCGAATTGGAGTTGGTTTATTCAAGGATTACGGTATATTTTGTACAATCGAACAGAACCATATAATCCAGTACCCCATTCTCTAGTCATTTTGACAGATGCCGACAAAGGAATAAAACAATCTTTAAAAGATATATTTTTAGATGGGTATCATTCTAGATGTGTACTTCATCTTGTTGAGAATTACAAATTAAAGCTTAGAGAGATGAGTTTTGCCTCAAGTACTGCTCAACAGATTTCAAAATTATTTACTGCAAACATGTATACGAAAAGAGATTTTAAAGCTGTTTTACGTGAGATTAGGATGACTGATCAAAGAGCTTACCAAGTAGCTCTCAGTTATGCTCCAAATAATTGGGTGAATTATGTATTTCCTGGTATAAGGTACGCCAAATATCAGCCATTTTCTGTG